AAATGCCTCTTTTCTGGCTGTTTTAATAATTGATTTTAGTGGTTAATTTTAACTTACAGTATAATTATATCTTCTCCTTCTTTGCTTGATTTAATTTAGATTTGCTTATTTTAATGTGTTTATATAATAGTTTAATTCTGATATATTATGCTTTTATATTTTGATTATGTTGTTATGTTGCTAATACATTTAAATATGTTAATTTAATGTCTCATTTTAGAATGTTTTGCTGTTTTAATTGTTGTGAGCTGCATGGACAGCCCAGATATGGACTATTGTAGTGGCATACAAATTGAATAAATGAATAAATATTGCCCCATTTAGTTTTACAGTAGCTAGATTTCTTAGTTGGGTTACCCAGTGTGATTTTTTAACATAAACATGTATGCCTCAATACTAGACAATGGGCTATCAGTGGCTACGAGTCAAATGGCTGCATATGATCTCCTTTAATTGAGGTGGTATACAGCCATGTGACATATGCAGGATGGGTGCTTTTTTTTTTTTTTTTTGCATTCATGTCTTGCTTGTGAGCTTCCTATAATCATCTGATTTTTTATTGTGGAAACAGAGTATTTGCAGTAGATTGATCTATTGAGTCTAATCTAGCATGACAGTTTTGTGTATGAACATTATTAGCATATACAGTTAGGAAACAGCTCAGCTCTCTCTCCTCCGTACAAGGGATGGCAGCTCTGAAGGAAGCTACACTGAAGTTATTTTTATGCTATGTCTCCTAGTTTATTTATTTACTATACGTATACCCTGGCTTTCTGCTTCCTCAGAACTCCAGGCAATGTACATAGGGTTCCCACACTGCCTTCCAGATTTGCTTATTTTTGGTAAAATGGCTGTGTCAGGTCTGTGAAGAGGAAGGTACACAATGATGCCATCTCTTCATTCTGAAACTCTGTGGCTGCAATTCACACTTAATGCTAAACAATATCATAGAGTTACCATGCATCATGGTTTCTTACCTGGTTTTTGCGTTCAGACAATGGTGAGGTTTCCACCTTCCCCTATCATTCCTCCTAAGGACAGCAGGTATTCCATCAGCCTCCAGAGCTGAAAATTGATCTCCTCCAGCAAGGACTGCTCTTTGCTCTACAGCAGCACCTTTCTAAAACATTGTTTATGGGTTCACACAATCGAGCAAGCCATGGTGGAGCATGGAAACCTTAGAACAGACCATTGTTTCTGTCTGGTTACACAGAAACTTACCATGCTGTACCACTCTGGCTGGGTTTACAGAACACTATAAACCATGCCATGGTGGTTTCAGCTGTGGTTTAGTGTTATATGTGAGCCTAGCCTGTTTATGTAAGTGGGGTGTGCATGTGTATAAAATGAATTGTAGTCAGAGTTTTAATGGCCTGTAGTGCAGGGTAATTCCAGGCATATTTACTGAGAAAACAGATCACACTGAATACATGACACCTATGCCAAGAGATCTACACAGGACCTCAACTAATTTTCAATCAAAATTCAAAGTGTTTTTTTTTTTGCTATTTCATGCCCTCATCAGCTTGGACTGAGCCATCTCAGAGAATGCTTTCTTCTGTACAAATATAAGAAACTTCCTTATATGAGTCAAACAACTAGTCTGGCTCGTTCGGTAGCTTTTTCTGACAGGCAGCAGCTCTCTAAGAGAGGAGATGGGCAAGTTGTAACTCTCTAGGTGCTTTGGCTTACCATGTTTTGGCCGGCCAAAACATTCTCCATTGGCTGTACTGATGAGGATTGATGGGAGTTGCCGGCCAAAACATCAGGAGGGCCACAAACACCTCTTACTCCCCACTAGAAGGTCTGGGGCTGATGGTCTACGACTTTTAACTGGAGACTGGAAGAGTGGGGTCTGGTACTGTCTACCTGTGTTCTGCTATGATGCTGCCACTCTTGAATGAACCTTTCCCTCTGCATCAGACAGCAGACAGGGCCCTATTCTGAGTGCCACCCATGTGTGATGCTAGTTTGGGCAGACAGAAGTAGCATTTCCATTTGAATCATTTTTATCTGAATTGGTCATTGAAACATGCAGTAAAAGAAACAAGGGCATGGAAAATACATATATTCATGCTTTAGTCTACGGGGAGTGCACACTTTCAAACAAGGCCTGCCAAAATGTGTACTTTGCCATTTGAACAAAAAGAAAACCAGGTCACAACTGAAAACAGAGTTGGGAGAATCTCATACATATTGATCATTGCTGATCCCTGGGTATGAGGGGCAGAATAATGTAAGTGCTGGCACCTTTGTTATGGAATACTTCCCCACCAACTGATAGGATTAACTGAGCCACACAGTTTTTATATTTAGGAGTTCAGTTAAGACCAGGTTGTTCCAGTAAAAAATAAATTTATTCCAGATTGTAATATTCTATTGGAAGCTACTACATCAGAGTAGTAGCTTCCAATATTAGTAGTTGTTGATTTTTCTGATTGTTGATTTTTATTAATGTATCAATGTAATCAATGTCCTTTTTTTGTTTTGGTGGGATTTTGTTTAAACCACTGAATCTTAAACCAGTTTACTCAGAAGTAATTCCTATTGAGTTCAACAGTGTTTACTTCCAGATAAGTAGGTATCAGATTACAGCCTAATTGTTGTTAGCCTTTCTGACTTTTAAAAAAATGTGGTAGGATATACATTGAAACAAACTACAGCAAGATGAAATTATAATATCTGGATGATTTCCCCAGACGTAGAGGAATATTAGTAGAAGCATTTTGTGATAATGTGAGCTGTATCAAGCCTTTGATATAAATCTAAACATCGCACAAGAGTTCCTTATGCCTTTAACACATGCAATTATAAACGTGGCAAAGTCCATATGGTTGCCTTGTGACAAATTCAGCAAAGCAGGTTTAAAGACAGTTGCTTGTTCAATAAGCCTATCACTGGACTAAGATCGAGGTCCAACCACTTCTACCTTTCACATCAATCTTACATCAACAATTAATATAAACCCTTTAAAAAGTAAATTCTGCTAAGATGGCAGCAAATTTATTTTATTTATTTAAAACATTTGTATGCCGCCCCCATCGCAACGAAGCCTTGGGGCGGCTAACAACAAACAAAATACATAAATACATAAATACATAAATAATAACAATATAACAATAAAAATTTATTTAAAAACCCCTGGTGCATCTTGGCTAAAAATTTAAAATCCTATAAATACAAATAATTTAACAATTAAAATAAGTTTTAAATAAAAAGGTCTTGGACTGGTGCCGAAAAGCAAATAATGACGGCGCCAGGCAGACCTCTCTGGGGAGCGCATTCCATAGATGGGGCGCCACCACAGAGAAAGCCCTCCTCCGGGTACTCACCCTCCTAATATCATTCACAGAGGGATCCCGGAGAAGGGCATCTGTTGCTGATCTCAAGGGGCGGGAGGGCATATATGGATGCAAGCGTTCCTTTAGATATAAATTGTGCCCACTTATCTGACAGTAAGGTGTACTGAATTCTATGGGACTTACTTTTGAGTAAGTAGACTTTTGAATAGTCTTGTATTGACTTGGACTGTGTGAAGATCTACTGTGTCAGGTACTGAAAACTGAGGGTGCAATCTTATGCATGTGTATACAGGAAACAATAAACTGTGAGCTGGCTCGCAAAGGCTCAGAGTCAGATTTTGTCGAAACATACATAAGATTGTGCCCTGAGCAATTTGGACGATGTTATGCATATAACCCAATCTGCAGTGCTCTGCAAACATAATCATCAGAAGCTGTCCAACTTCCTTATTTGCAATTCGTTCCACACAGGGCCACTATGAATGGAAGCAGAATAGCCCCCAGGCCATTCCTTGTGACCTCAGGTGCAGGTTAGTTTGCATGCAATAACATCAAGGGCCTGGATCCCCACACACACACAAACACACACACACACTCCCCACCACAATGCCTGTTTGTTGATACCAATTTTAGTTTGGTAGAACCCCTGTTGATTCCCCACCCCTCATGAAAATCATGTGGTATAGCTTTTAATGAGGTCAGGAAAAATAAGGTGTTTTGTAGATGCTACTGCAAATCATAACCACCTACAGGGTTTTGGCTGTTGGGCAGTAAAGGCATTAATTAATTAAATCATGATAGCATTTTGGACAAAGAAAGGAAAAATGAAACTGCCTTCTGCATTAACAAATATTTTAATGGTTCTACAATCCTATATCTGTTCATCTGGGAGGGAACAACTGAGGAAGAAGTGATTTGACTTCTGAGTAGACATGTTTAGGATCGCACTGTAAATCTAATACCAGAAAACATCCCAAAATCCGTATTAGGATTCCTACTTCTATTTCAATGTTTCTATTAAACCAACTCAGATGTTCAGGTTTCCAGGTTTTCGCAGGAACTTCAGTTCACTTTCGAGATGATTGGAACTCCCTCGTTTATAAGTTACATATAAGTTACCCCGTTAATGGTATTACCCGAATATGGATTTGGGGATTTTTCTTTTGCCACTTTTGATTTCTTCGTGAGAAAAGAAAACACGGAACCCTGCCTGCCTGCCAAACAATCGTACGCATGTCTATTCAGATGAAGCCCCACTGAGTGCCAGAGGATTTTCCCCCAAGTAGGCGGGCACAGGACTGCATCCGAAGATGCCTTCAGTAGTTCCATGCGGGCCGTCCAGCGTCTCTTCAGTCTCGCCGGGCAGCCCAATTCCCAGTCAATGACCGACTTCTCTTCACGCCGTTTCTCTCTCACCTGCGCTCTACTCGCAGCTGAACAATCAGTTCTTACGCCTTCTTCCCCCGCCCTTCGTATGACAGACAACTCTGTACACTCTTAGTCCCGCCTCTCTTAAGGCCTGCACAGTGGCGATTGGCTCTGGCGGCGGTGGGCTCGGTCTGGCACCGACAAGCGACACCCGCGCCCTGAGCAGGGAGGGCCACGCGATTGGCTGGTGCGCGCGCGGGGATCTCCCCGCCCCCTTCCAGCAGCCCGGCAGCGCTGCCTGCCGGAGAGTGGGGCGACTTCTAGTTGAGAGATGGCGGCCACCGCGGGTAGATCGCTGCTGCTCCTCCTCACCCGGACTCCCGGTGGCGGAGGAGGAGCGGCGCTGACAGCCGCCGGCCGCTTCCCAGGGCTGGCGAGGCACCGTCAGCAGCAGCGGCACAGGACGGTGAGTCCCTGGGGCGGCGCCCTGGAGGCCGGGGCTGAGGGCTGGGACGCTGGCGAGGCGGAGCGGGCTCGGGCGGCGGGCTCGCCGTTGCTCTTCGTCGGAGGCGCTCCGAGCCTCCTGGCTGAGGCGTGCGAGGCGGCACTTGAGCGGCGGGCTTTCTTTTGACGCGGGACGTGCCCGGTGCCGCCCGCCGGAGCCTCCCCGTTCTTCCCTCCCTTAGGCAGGCAGCCCAACCCAGTGCTTGCTCAGGGTCCGCCCCGCTAGTGGAAGGACCGCCCGCCCGGGACAAGGGCGACCCCCTTCTTCTCGTTCGGTTTCCCTTTCCTTCCTTTTCTCCTCAGCGCCCGGGTTGGGAGCAAATCAAGGCGTATCGTTGTCGCTGGCAGAGAGAGAGAGAGAGGGAGAGAGAGAAGGAGCTGCATGCTGCGGTGTGCGGAGAAAAGAGGCGGAGGAGGGAGCTGCTACTGCTGCAGTGACTTGGAGATCCAGGAGCCGCTGCTCCTTTCCCCGCTGCTGCATCCCCTTGTTATCTCGGCACAGCAGCCGGCCATCCTCGCGTGGGCCCGTCGCAACTTGACTGACTGGAGGGCGGGGGGAATAGGTTCCTCCTGGAGGAGCATGTTTGGATGGGTGGCATATCGGCTTCGTCTCAATTTTCATTCATTCAAGCCGCAAAAGGGCAAGGAAGAATGAGCCAACTCTGCTTTTTCCTCTATCTCTCCCCCCCACCTTACTTAGAAACGAAACCGGAGTAGAACAGTTGTTACACTGTTGTCTTGATCCATATTGTGCTGGCGGGATTTCACCTAGTGATTTCTTACAGTTGTGAGGAGTGCGTTCTTGCTCTCTCCTTCCCCACTCCCCCCCCCCCCCGGTCTCTAGGCAAAGTTACTCGGTAGAGCACAGGATCAATGCAGTGTGGTTGCCTTGAATGCAAATCTGTGTGCAGCACTTTTCATGTTGACAATTTGCATGACATGTTTAAGCTGTAAAACAATAAAAGTTCGTTGATGACCCGTAATGGGTAAGGTAGTATTTAAGAGCAGAATGAAATTCTTGTAATCTGAAAGTTGCTACCCCTTGAGAGCAGATCTGCACATGGTAGCAAAGAGTTCACAACTGAAAATGATGAAATAATACGATGGGGTGTGTGTGTTCTAAATGCCTGTTGCTGACCCTTTAGACCCTGTCTATTTCCCAAGGCTGTTGTTTATTGGCGATTTGATTGATACTTCCCTTGTTAAATTCCATTTCCTTATCTTTGTGTGTATAGTAGGAATCATATTTCAGTGTTTCTGAGAAAATCTGGGCTTTTATATAATAATGTCAGAACAGCTGCATGTGCTTCCACCATCCAACCTCCTTACAATATTTTCTGTTGTCTACACCACCAGAAAATATTCTTTCTATATTCTAAAAGGCCATCCATCCAGCGTCAGGGGAATTAAAGATGATATTATGTAGAAGTAGAGAAGAATGTAAGGCCATGCTTGGTTCAAAGCTGAAATGTTTAATTCTTGGTTTTAACTTCAACTGCAGGAACATAACTTATAAAAATATATGACAGAATAAGTTTTAACATTTTACTGTAGCTCATGTGTGTTTTTCTTTGCTTTGTCCTGTGATGTACTCTTTGAAATAGTTTATGAAGCTTCTGTCCAGGAATGAAAGTTTCAACAAGACATTAAAATGCAAATTGGAATGAGTGCGCATTTTAATTTTTATATTCAAATGAAGTACAGTTTTGAAAATCTGACTCATATTTCCTTAAGATATCAAGTAAAAGTCAGAAGGAAGAAAGGGTTTAAATGCCAAAAACCTTTTCTACTTCCTATTTTTTATGTTTTGCAACTCATAGTTTTGACACATAAGGCCTCTGTAGAAATACACAGGGACAAGGAGGTTGTCATGATAATAGAGCCCCATGTCATAGAATTTGAATGAGGTATGCATTTATTAGATATAGTTCTAGGTTGCACTGAATACTAACAGTACAAAACAGTTTGAAAAAGTTGTTTTTATCATCAAATCATAGAATTGTAGCACTGGAAAGGGCCAGAAGGCCATTGGAGCCAAGGCCCTGCTCAGTATGGGACTCCAAGCTGAACCATCCCACTCAGGTGGCTGTCCAGCTGCATCCTGAATGCCTCTAGTGTGGGGGAGCCCACAACCTCCCTAGGTCATGGGTTCCATTGTTATACTACTCTAACAGTCAGGAGATTTTTCCCAGTATCTAACCAGAAACTGGCTTCCTGTAATTTGAGTCCATTATTCAGTGTTCCACACTCTGGGAAAAGATCCTTTCTTCTCTTTGTGACAGCTTTTTAAGTACTTGTAGAATGCTATCACATGTAGAGTGCTATCATATCTCCCCTTAGTCTTCTCTTCTTGAGGCTAAGCATGCCCAGTTCTTTCAATCTTTCCTCACAGGATTTTCCAGTCATCGTTGTTGCCCTCCCCCAAACCCTTTACAGCTTGTCTGTATCTTTCTTAAACTGTGGTGCCCAGAACTGTCCACAATACTCCAGATGAAGCTCAGTCAGTACTGAGTGAAGGGAAACTAGTGCTTCATGGGATTTGCAAGTGATAGTTTTGTTAATGCAGCCTAAAATAGCATTTGCCCTTTTTTTTGCAGCCACATCACATTGTCATGTGAGCTACAACAGTTCCAAGATCCTTGTCACTTCCAGTACGATTGAGCCAAGTATTCCCCATCTTGTAAGGATGCATTTGGTTTCTTTTTCCTAGGTGGAGGACTTGGCATTTGTCCCTATCAAGATTACCCTGAATCTTCTTTCTGTCAGATAATCATTACCTGCACTGAAATTATTAATAAAAATGTTGAAGTGCCCTGAGTCCAAAACTGGATGCTGTGGTACCCTGCTTGTTACTTCTTCCCAGTTTGAAAAGGTGCCATCAGACTCTTTGAATCTGATTCTTCAGCCAACTATGGAGCCACCTGATCGTTGTTCCCTCTAGCCCACTTTGAGTTAGTTTGCTAATCAGGATATTATGGGAAACTTTGTCAAAGCTTTGCTGATGTCAAGATAGATTATGTCCACAGCATCCCCACTGTCCATTAGGGAGGTTACCCAAGCAAAAAAAAAGAAAAAGAAAAAAAAGAAATCAGATTTGTCTGGCAGGATTTGCTCTTGAGGAATCCAAGTTGGCTTCTAGTAATCACTGCATTGCTTTCAAGGTATTTGCAGACTGACTACTGTAAATCCTGTTCCATAATTTTCCCAGGAATTGATGTCAGACTGACTGGTATGTAGTTCCCAGGTGGTTCTTTTTTTCCTTTCTTGAAGATAGGGACAACACTGGCCCTTCTCCATTAATCTGGCACTTCCCCTGTCCTCCATGATTTCTCAAAGATAATAGACAGTGGTTGTTAGAGTTCTTCTGCCAGCTGCTTTATGACACTTTTTCCTTGTTGGAATTGTTTGAAATTGTGCCTTTAGAAATTTCTTTTTTAAAAATTTTCACCCATTGTGAACTTATTTTCTCATTAGAGTCATTTGCTATGCGACTTTACTTACCATCATCCAGAGTTTATTAAAATTGGCTTTCTTGAAATCCAGGGTACATATTTGGCTACATTTGGCTTTTGCTTCCTTTAGAATCAAGAATTCAAGTATGGCATGGTCACTTTCCTGCAAAGTTCCTGTAGAAACTTTGTCCCCTAGTTTTCCCTCTTGCTTAGTATCAAGTCAAGGATAGCTGTTTCTCTTGTTTCTTCCTCCACTTTATTAGGAATCTCTTGGAGTGGCCATGTTTGATAGAATTTGTCTCTCAATGGATGTTAGGGAAATTGAAGTCCCCCATAATGATGACATCATGTTTCCTTGAAAGACTGGTAATTTGCTTTTCAAAAGTTTCATCCTCACTGTCTCCTCAACTGGGTGGTCAATAATAGATGCTGTGTTCCTTTTATTCCTTGTTCCATTTATATTAATCCAGATGCTCTAGATGGGGCTACTAAGCTCATCCTCCTATATTTCAAAGATATGTATGTTTAACATACAGTGTGACTCCATCTCCCTTTCTGTTCCTTCTGTTCTTCTGCCTCAGCTTGCTGTTGTACTTCTAGCTTCTGTACTATTAGCTGTTGCAGTTCCACTGCTCTGTCTAAAAACTCTTCATCTCGTTTATTACTGTGAGGGTGGACACTCCCTGCCCTAGTGCCCTCACCTTTCTTCTGACAGGGCTGCTAGCTTGCACTTGTTGCATGTGTAGGCCCTGTTGACATCAGGCAGGAAAACAAACGTTGCAGAGATATTGAAGATATGAGCACTAGGTACTCTTCTCAGTCCATACTTTCTGTTACCTTTTTGATTATAGCTTGCTGGTCCTGTTGTGGCAACTGGTGCTTTCTCCTGTGTTCCTTGAATGTTAACAACACAGCCCTACCAGTAAATGGGAGTGTGTTACACTAAAGAAAGCAAAGAGGACAAAACTAGGAGCAGAGGAGAAAAATGTTAGGGACCTTCCCTGCTGCCACATTCCAGTTTGCTTGCTCTGGTCGCTTGCTCCCAGGAGCATGGCTGCTTATAGCCTAGAGTCCCTGGACCAGCTGGACACATGCTCTGCTCAGCTAGGGGTCAGGAACCAGAATGAATCTCCACACCCACACAGCTGCTGCTAGTAATCAGGCCACTCCCTTGCAGTTGCTGCTTTCAGGCACACAGGGCCTCTTGGAAAAGACTGTTTGCTGGGCTAACTCAGGCCCCTTACCCCTTTGCCTGTGCCTTTGTCTCATCTTCCACTACAACTTCACCACCAGACGCTTGGTCACTTGCTTCTGGAAGTTTGGCTGCTGGTGGAGTCCCTTGATCAGTTTCCTCTGATCAAATGTATGTATGAAATTAAAGGAAGAGATGCATTTGATGTACTAATATGAAACTGATCACAGTCTATCACTGGATCAGGTTTGTTACTGTACAGTGTTGCAAAATAAAATAGCTTTTAATAAACATGAGTGAATGAAGGTACTTCTAATA